ACAAGAGGCATTTGTTTACATCTGTCCCCTCCTAGTGGTCAAATCACAAACTGCATCTGGAAGAGAGGAAGCTGGTTGCATTAGTTGCATACACTTCATGTGGTTTGTCCATAGAAAGCAAATGGTTAGTCTCGAAACAACAGTCTCTGCCGTTGTGTCCTTGGGTAAGACACTTCACCTACCACCTACTGGTGATGGCCAGAGGGGCCGATGGCGCGATATGTCAGCCTGGCTTCTGTCAGTCTGCCCCAGGGCAGCTGTGGCTACAACCGTAGCTGCCTCCACCAGTGTGTGAATGTGAGAGTGAACGAATAGTGGCATTGTAAAGCACTTTGGGTGCCTTGAAAAGCGTTATATAAATGCAATCCATTATTATTATTATTATTATTATTATTATTATTATTGAGTTCTTACAGTAAAGGCTGCAGATTTGACAGAGGAGGAAAACCACACTGAGCTAAACAATTTGTGGTCATTTGAAATGTAGCAGAGTTTTAGATGAGCTGTTGATGCTTTTGTATTTTATCTGATCGGTTGGTTTGATCCATTCATTCATTGGTTTACCAGAGACGGGATGAGATGCAGTTGGCTTGAGTGTCATGGAGCCCATGGGTGAAGAATGTAAGGATATTCCAGATTTAAAAAACCAAGAGAGAAGAAAAGCTGCAGGTTTTCTTCAACAGCACGATCGACAGTGTTTGTGTAATCACACTTACTGCCAGAAGGGGGAGACAAAAGTTACATATTTAATCAACTTCGTTCTCAATCACAGGAACCAGACGGCTGGGTCACAGACGGTCCACGTACAGACCAGGAAACTGTTTCTTTGATTTAAGGGATTAGTATTATTACCTAGTATGCTAGTTAATAACATGTTTGGTTGATTTTAAATTGATTAAAATTTGGGGCTTCTTTTTTTTTACTTTTTGCTTTTTTAAATACCAAATGGTTTGCATGTTTTTGTTGTCCAAGCACAGGGGTGAAGAATTACTACTTGTTGTTATTTTCTCTGTTTGTGGTGGGATAGATCAGGGAGTTTTGGTGGGATGACTGTGTCATAGAGCACGCCTGTGTCTGGCTGTTGAGTGTGGGCAGTAATTTGATGGGACCTCCTCTGTTCTCAGTACTGTTCAGGTACAAGTTTTTCATTTTGTGACAACAAATCTCTGTTAGCTGGCTCGTAATTCCACTGGCTGACAGTTTCCAGGTAAACAGATGAAGTCTGGCATAAACAGCCTCACCTTCTTTCCTCTTTTTTACACACCCGGAGTGTGAAAGGCTGAATTTTACACAAGCGTGTGATAAAATGATGGAACAACCAGGAAAGTTTTCTCTCTTTTCTTTACCTTTCCTGTGATCCCAGAAGAAACTTCATGGCTACGTTTGAACATCTTATGCCATGATCAATATTTTACTTTTACCGATTAGTTACTCGTGTTTATTATCGATCAGTCCACACAAACGAATAAGGTCTGCATTTAAAATACTAGAATAAATAAAATAACTTGCACTCATATAGTTGAATAACAATGATTATGATGATAGTAATAAGAAGCTTTCAGATACTAATGAGGCAATGGCTGTGCTTTTATTTTTTCTCTGGTTAAAATTAAGGATGGCTGGTTTCTGAAAAGCCCTCCTCCTCTGTGTGCTGGTCATCAGTTATTCTGTGTCAGAGAGAAAGATGCGGTGGATACGATGGTTGGAAATGGAGAACAAACGAGGATGTGAGGAGGGAGGAGTGTGGTAGGGGCTTCCACTGCCTCTTTCTAATTGGCCGGGCATGACGGCATTCTCCCCAGAGGCTCCCTCCTCCTCCCTCCATCCATCCTGCACTCTTCCTCGTTCTCATCACCCCTCCCTCCATCTGCGTTCGCCTCCCTCCCTCCCTCTCCGGCTTAGTCGCCACATCCACATCACAGCAGGGGCATAAGAGATAACGTTAGCGATCTGGACCTGAAGGAGAAAAGCTGTGTGTGTCTGTGATTTTATGTTTTGCTCTTTTTGCTCTTTATCCTTTCCTGCCGTGGATGCCTGCTCGGAGCCTTTACTTTCACTCACTTCCTCGTTCCCCATCTTCTTTACCTCCTGCTCCACTACCTCTACCTCCTCCTTTTCTCTGGTTGGATATGTATCTGTCCAACACGCTACCTCCGTCCACCAGCCAGACCTCTGCAACGGAGCCGCCCCTGCTACTGATAGCTATTAGCTCCTAGCATCACAAGTACAGAGAGGTTGAGGGTTGGAAACACTGTGGCGTGGCTTCATTGCATTGCCTGGTCCCAGCTGCTGGCCAAGGCAGAGACTCCTGCACATCCAACACCCACTCGTACCCTCGTTCAGTGAGTCGGTGCTGTTCAGAGCAATGAGAAAGGACTTTCTACCTAAAGGAGGCAGCTCCTGAGCTCAAAAATCTACTGACAAATACAGACCGGATGCACGGCTGCTCCTGCTGATAGAAATCTGCTGAGGGCAGAAGCAGGAGTCCAGGCTCGCGCTGTGAACTAGGCTGCTGCTTGCTGTGGTTTGGATTTGTGCAGAATTGAAAGTCTTACACCGGTGAAGAGCTGAAGGAGGCTGTCGTCACACACTTTCTGTTCTGTTCCATTTTTCCATCTTGGTTTTCATGCATCACTGGTTTGCGTGTGAGTCAGTGAGTTCAGCATCCGCTCAGCCGTACTCTAACTCAAACACGCAGCGCATCGTCTCCTGCGGGCGCAAACGCGCCACGTTCCAAACGGACCACATCTCGTCCTTTTCTGCTTTTTCGCTAGGACCGCCTGTCCAGGCGTGGAGGGCACACAAAGAGATCAGTGCTGTTTATTTCACGGTCATTTCAGAGAAATCAGACCTCGGCGAAGCTCCATTTGCAAAGTGGGTACAAACGTATCGACTGCTTTGATGTGTCATCGCTCACGCGCTGAGCCTCGAGCATTAAGGCCACGCCGCCGTGCAGCCGGAGCCAGATTTTCTCCGTGTCTTTGAAGTCAGCGAAGGAAAAATACAAAAAGGTGGCGTTCTTATCCAGTGCCGCCGTTTGCTGGAGAAGCACCCCACGTGTTGAGCAGCTTTGTTGCCAGGCAACAGTACGCTGGATTGGAATTGGTTAGAGGGAGTTTGCCAGGGGAAGAAGATGAGAGTGGGTCGTGTGATTGGGTTTCAAAGCAAGTCTGGCAGGTAGCTGAAAGACTCAGCATTATGTGGAAAGCAGCGCCAACACATCGTTTCCTGACTGTGATTGCGTCGCACCGGAGGGCCGGCGCCGGGCTCTGACAGTGGTACAAGCTGAGCGGCCTCCGCCAACGTCTTGTCCACGTGTTGATAGTCTGCGTTGCCCGGATGAACTGGATCGATCTGAACGTCACGTGTCCTGGACGTCGAAGCGCCGGCTGCCGAGTTGCTGTGTTTCATTGAGCTCGTCTTCCATTCGTTTCCACCTGCCCTCCTGAACGCCGGGCTGCCACGGCGTGCAAATAGCAGCTGCTCTCTCCTCATTCACCAGAACCTCAACACTTTTTGACACTGAGCTGAGAACGGAGGTTCCCACGCTCCTCCTCGTCTACTCCAACAACACAGGAAACTCCTGGGCATCTAGACGACACGCTGGAGTCATCTTCCATCCTGGCCCCGGAGCGGGACCACCCCTCTCCCTCTCCCTCACCCTGTCCCACCCCACCTCCATCTCCTCCACGCTCTCCACCGCCCTCTCCTCCTCCTGTACCAGTCCTGACCCCACATTTGCCCCTTCCAGCAGTTTGCAAAGCAGTGGAAGATGGCGAGGGAAAGACGGAAGAGAGGGCCCACGGCAGTCAGGCCTCACCAGACTCTTTCTGCAGGGTCATGGACCTTCTTGGGATGGGACACCGGCTCTTCGTCCCCAGGCTGCTGGCGGTGAGAGAGCGATGCAGGGATGGAGTGGTGGTTGACTGTTAGACCAGTTAGACCAGAGTGTTTTTAATGGGGGAAATGGGAACGTGTGCCTTTTAAAATGCAGTCTCAGTTTATGAATTCATTTAGTAGTTGTATCTGTCGCTGTGATGCCTTGCTGGTCATGTTGCGTACATGCAGCTGACTGCTTGAAATTTCCTTTACAGCACGAGCTGTTTGTTTGCTGCCTGATGTCACCTCCACGTTTATTCCATCTGCAGAAATGGAACAAAAAATAATCTTACAAGGAAAATGCTCTTTGATCTCAAAGCACACGCTCGACACAGATTCTGGTGTCTTTGCATCTTCTCACCACAGGGTGGCGGTATTGTTGTGTTATTAAATACTCTGTGATCTCTTTACCCCATAAAGATGATATTCGACGCCTCGGTATATGTCAGTAAACGCGTGGTTTGACGACCATTAGAATAGGAACTGGAAAAGAAAGCTGCTGAGTTTCGTGAGGACGTGTCACCTCTCGTCTCCCATCAGAGGCTTGAAAAATGACAGAAAAGAGCGTCAGTGGTCATTCCTATCAGGGATTTCAAGGGGTGAAGGGTTTAAATATGGGAGTTACAAATGGTTTTCATGCTGCTGCATAAACAAGGTGCTGAAGGAGGAGAGCAGCATGGGATTAGCACAGCAGGACTCCGATGGACTGAGAGTTCTCAGCCTTTGCTTAGAGATGATTAAAAGTAACTGGCTGCACAGGAAATATCATTTTATAAAACTACAGTGTAACTATTGTTTTACAATAAGAGCTATAACACGTAAGGGAATGCTTACAACAAGTTATGTGTAACTACAGTTTTCTCTGTATTATCACTGGTTCTTAGTCTTTGAGTATAAAACTCTCATTAATTATCCCTTGTTGTTCTCTCTCCTCCCACTCCTCCTCGTCTCCTTCCAGACGTCTAAAGAGGACCTGTTGCAGGCAGACTTCGAGGGGGCTCTCAAGTTTTTCAGAGTCCAGCTCCCCAAACGATACAGAGCTGCAGAGAACGCCCGAAGGCTCATGGAGCAGGCCTGCAACATCAAGGTAAGAGACAGTTGTGCAAGTGTGTACAAACACACATAATGCGAGGGTATTCATGTAAATCTTGTATCCACTGAGCCAGATGAGTCAGAGGTGCAGTTCTGGCTGCTGTATGTGGTTGTAGCCTGTGGTAGTCTGGACCACAGCAGCACCCGTGGTTTGTACACAGTGCACTCTCTCTCAGGTGGCCTGCAGCGGTATCGCACTCGCCGAGCTGCTTATTCATGTGCCACAGCAGGGTTACTCGTGTTTCACGTGCACCACGCTCTGCAGAGGTGAGCTGTGACTAAATGCTGTACTTTAAGGAACATTAGTGATTACGTTGTCTCATTCTGGGTATTGAAAGCCATCCTGAATGTAAAAAGCATCACTCTGCTGTCAGTCAGAACGCTCTAATGAAGTGATGTGCAGTAGGTGGAAGTATCTGGAGCACCAGGCCAGAGAGGTTAAACACAGTGCAGTTTCTGTACCATATACTTTATTATCTTTGCTTCTTTAGTCTTCTGTAAAAGTCTTTATTGTGCATTTGTTTTCCTCTGCTCTGTGAATCCATCACCTACAACATGGTTTCTATGGATGGCAGTCCAGGCCGTGTTTTCCCTAAAATACTTCCTGATGCCGTTACGATCCTCCTGCTGACCTTAAAGCGGCCGCTGGCATTCAGGGAATTTGCCGAGCTCACCAGAGACCAGAGAACGGTACACGGTGTGTGCGATGCTGTGTGTACTTGTGTCAGCGGTTTGTGTTACGACAGAGGAAGGAAGGAGAAGAAAGATGGAAGAGATAATCATCCACCCTCCTCTCCCCTGCGTCTCAGTGATACGTACTGTAATATTTTACATTTTCTTATCCCGAGCGAGTCGGCTCGAGGCCACGTTGATAGGATGCTGTTCTCTTATGATTCTCGTGTGCTTCTGTGTTTGTCGTCATACAGGATATCCTGTATTGCGGCTCAGGAGTCTTCTGCATTGGTGGCTTTAGTAGTATTTTGGTTCTGTGCACCCACACAACCTGTTTACTTCAAAACTGGAGTAAATTTGAACAACTAAACAGCATAGACGTGTTCTGTGGTACGAAGTGACTGTCAAACAGGCGTCAAGGGAAGGCTGTAAAAACTTTGACAGAGTGTGTGGTTGCCATCAGTGTCCTGATTCACATGTGAGGAGGAAGAGGAGTTATCGTCTGTCTGAAAGGATGAGCAGAAACACTTTGCGCCTCGTTCTGCTCGTTCCTTCATCGTACCTCGCCGTTCTCTCGCTCCTGCGTCGTTTCTTGCGTTGGCGTATTTATCTTTCCCGCTCTTCCTCTCTCTCTCTTGTGAGAGAAACTGTACGAGCTGAGCACAGACTTTCTTTTTTTGGCACTTTGCTCAAACAAAAACACAAACTGTGGCAGCCAATCAGAAACATGCAGAGTGTGGCTTATGGGATAATTGGCCACAAAGTGCCGCCGTGATCGAACGAGCGTTTGTGCTTACTTTGGAATGTTAGGCTCACGGACTCGTTATCGTGCAGAACGTGCTGAAGTTGTTCACGTTGGCCTTACAGTTGAGACTGAAGATGGAAACGGAGAATTCAGGGATTGAAAACTTTTTGGGAGCAGTGAGGAACCAAAACATGAAAGTAGTGACTGATATCTGTGATATAAACGTCATAGCAGAGAAACTTTTCTCAGCCCTTCTCGAGCTGTTCCACATTTTCTTTTGAACTTGTAAAATAGATTTCCTCCCCGTGGAAAGAGGTGTGAGCAGATTAACACAAAAAGGGCCTCAAAGAAAACCGTAAGAGGAGAAAGGAGTCTTGCTGCCCACTCCCACCAGCTGACCCACAGGTCACATGTTACACAAGCTTGAATATGTCACGTTACACAACGCCACATGAAATCTCATAACCGGGCATGCCAGGCCACGTTTGGTTATGCCAGTCGTGTCGCAAAACCAAACCTTCCACTAATCTATGGACTTGTTACGCTCTCAGCCGTCCCACACGCTCACTGATGACTGTGACCGTCTGTTAGTCATGTTTCTAACAGGCGAGATCAAAGATGAGAGAAGGAAGCAGCCACTCTGAACATATCTGATTTTCCACTCATGAGAAGTTAAACCATTTGATTTGTAAACGAAAGGCCGTTGGACCTAGTAGCCATCTTTGTGGGGGCGACATGCTAGCACCGCTTTAGCTAATGGGCAGAACGGCCCCCCAGCACTTCTTTCTCTTCACCACCCCCCCTTCTACATATTTTCTGCCGACGTTTAAATCGGATCAACCAAATTCTATAAGCTGCTTAAAACGGGGAAGGAATTCACCGGCACCTCGGCTTGATGAACACAACGGGGTAGTGGGGTGGCTCAGCCTTTCTGGGGATCAGCAATTTAAATTTCTAGCCTTCTTAAACGTTCATCGGAGCACAGCTGGAGTTACTAAGAAAGCAAAACTTTAATGAACTGAGAGGAAGAGAGGAGAAGGCTGTGTTTGTGTAAAAGGGCAGAATCATTTATAGAGACAGCTGTAGCTTGTCAAAGAAAGGCTGAGTGAAGAATTATTACGTTATTATTACATTATTATTACATTATAACCGTATTAAAGGGGTTTGTCTCGGTAAATAGTAAATGTAGCAGTTACTGGAGCGTGTGCACCTGAAGGTCCGTGTTTAGTGTTTGAATCCTTTAGCACAGCTGCTGTAGTGTTCAGGAAACGTTCTGCAGGCTCGTTGAAGGACCGTCAGAGCTCTTCTTTGGATGCTGGTCGCCTTTTTGTTCGGTTCTCTGTCAGGACGGTCCCACACTGCTTCAGTAATGCTGATGTCTGGGGAGGCCCATCCATGACTGGCAGCTTTGCACTGTGGCTGAAGTGCAGAAAAGCATGACAGAGCCTGTGGTTTTATGCTTGAATAACTCATAGGTGTTGCGTGATTTAGCAAAGAAAACCATATTCCTCTGATAATGATCAAGGTCTGGGCTGAAAACGAGTTATTGTGCAAAGACAAACAGTCCAGCCTGTGAGGTTTTAAACTCCTGGGTGGATCACAAAGACCAACTTTGCCTACATAACCTGCCTCGCTGCTGTGCAGTGTGTGGCTGCAGACTCACTACTGTGCTTTGTGCTGCCCAGCTCATGTCTGAGGAGACCGTCACAGTTATGCTGACGTTTCACGGCCTTTAAGGTGTCGCAGATAAATACAACAAAATAAAACCAGTACCACAAAAAGAAGATTTATTCCCAACACACAGGAAAAGACCCAGCAAAACTGAGTTAACAATAAAAACCCTGAAAAACATAAATGTCACACTCGAGCTTCGACTCTCGCGGACCGGTACCAAACGACTCGCAGACCAGTACCGGGGGCTGGGGACCGCTGGTTATGTAATCAGGGAAAATGGAAACATCTGCACCACAGCAGTCCGGTCACTGTGGACCAGCCAAACCCATCGTTCCCATTGGTCAGCTCTGTTCGGTCTCATCCTCAGTGCCTTGGCGTCGGTTACTTATTCAGTTGGAGTGAAACGCAGACCCGTCTCTAGTCCTGGCTGGTTAGCTAGCAAATATTAACTTTTAACTACTTCATTTCACTTAAACTTTAACTTTGACTTATAAAGGAGTGAAAGAGTAATTTGACACCAGGATTTAAATGAGTGTTTTTCAGTAAAAGTAACCGTTTAGCTCTGGCTATTGCTTCATTGAGTGGATAAGACTGAGAGAATAACTGATAGAAGGCAAACTGTAGACTCTGAAGCTCCAAAGACGCTTAAAGAAAAAGAAAAGCAGGCGCTTGTTCGTGCCTATGTGGGTTTCTCGTGCAGAGTTCAGCTCTGGGTCCTTTCAGAGAACATTAAGCGTGTTCGGGCGTCTTCCAGGACAGCTCTGTATTTGCTGTCACTTCACTTCCTGGGTTGTGCTGTTGGAGCGATGCGCAACACAGACCGTCATGTCACTGTGGTTGATCTGACAACTTCCTTCCTGTGTCCCCTAACCTCTCACGTAAACAGTGCAGATGTGTGAACGAGCCTTTATCTGTATTTTTGTTACCAGCTGCAGGAAACAGAAATGTGCAGCCTGAAAAGAGCTGCAGATAGATGAGGACAGGCAGCGATAGCGAGAGAGGCACAAATGAGAGAAGAGAGGAGGCAGCAACAGGGAAGTACTCACTCAGTGGAGGGGAAGAAAAAGCAAACTCATCGTCCTCTGTCACACACTTCTAGCGTTACAGAGAGAAACAAACAGGTGTGTTGTACTGCTCTCTCGCTGCCCCCACCTCTCCTCCTCTCACTGGGCGGGGCTCGGCTCCTGAGGGACTCGCAGGCAGCCGCTCGCCGCCTCCTCACTGCCAGGAACAAAACCTGTCGGCTGCACTCTCCCGCTTTTCCTCCTCCTTGCTGCCGGGAGCAAGCGGGAGTCAAGATGATGCAGGAGGTGTCTATCATGGTGGCGTACGATGCTCATGTAGTCGACCGACCGGGTGAGGAGGACGCCTTGGCGTGCTTGGTTGCCCATTCCAGACCTCGCCGAGCTCCCAGACCAGTGGTAGGTCTGTTCTGATGTCTTGTAGTTTTTAAAACCTCTACAACAGTTTGGCCTCATGTTTCTAATGACTGTTGGTTACTGCAGTTTTTAGAACAGGAACGTTTGAAGTCACCTGCTGCTGTAGCTGTTTTTCTTTTCTGTTGTCGCTTTCTTATCTTTATTTTTTTAACCGTCCTGCGTCATGTACAGAGGAGGAAAATGCCGCTATTACTGAAAATGCCTTTTTCTTTCCGTGCGTTAAATGGTGTAAACACGTGTGTGAACATGTGGGTGTTTGTTCCTCTGAAAGTGTGTCAGATATTTGAGGTTTGTCAGTCAGTGCTGCTTCGTGACAGTCACTTTGTTTCAATTACTGATCTTAATTTGGAATCAATGAGACGTGTGTGTGTTTCCTTCGCGCGCTTCATTGAATTACGTGCCCTATTTTTTTCTCTGTGGCTCAAATGTCCAGCTGCTGTCGTCCTCATTTCCTCGGCTGCTCCTTCTTGTAAGTGGACTTCACCCTTCTTCCGTTCTTGTAGTCCGAGGTTTGGGACCAATTCCATTTTCTGCAGCAGCGATTCAGGTCAGGAATCTAAAAGTGGGCCTGGGACCATTTTGCTGCAGCGCAGGAATCTTAAATTGCTTTTCCCTTGACTGGAGTCGACCCTCTAATATCTACAGTTTGATGATTCACCTTGGAGTCCAGTGGGTACAGTGTGTGTTACTCAGCAAGGTGATGCAGCTCGTGCGAGCTTGCTAAACAGACCCGTCCCTGAAATTCCTTAAATAATAAAAAACAGGAGGCATGTTTCACTGGGAATGCCAGCATGTAAGCCTGCACTCAGTTATGGAACAGAAATAATTACAAATCATTTATTGTTTTGTCTTTATGTTTCAGTCGGCTATATTTCAAAGTGCTGTTGCACAAACATGTGAGCAGAATTGAACCGACGTGAGGGTGAGGCCAGGGCCCAGCTGACCATGTAATGGAGTACTTGTGTTACGTGTAATGGAGTATTGTCTGGCATACAGGTCAGTTTACTCCTTGCTGTGTGGTGATAGGACAGGGAGGTTATTTTCATCCCAGTGTCACCACACACACCAGTCTCGTCCTGATTGCCCCGCCCACGTGGTCCTCCTTCGGCCTGCTCGTCTTTCTCAGCGCTCGTGTCTGTGTCCCTGTGTCCCTGTGTCTCTTTGTCCCTGTGTCCCTGTGTCTCTTTGTCTCTTTGTCCCTGTGTCCCTGTGTCTCTGTGTCCCTTTGTCCCTGTGTCCCTGTGTCTCTTTGTCTCTGTGTCCCTGTGTCTCTATGTCCCTGTGTCTCTTTGTCCCTGTGTCTCTATGTCTCTGTGTCTCTGTGTCCCTGTGTCTCTATGTCTCTGTGTCTCTGTGTCCCTGTGTCTCTATGTCTCTGTGTCTCTGTGTCCCTGTGTCTCTGTGTCTCTTTGTCTCTGTGTCTCTTTGTCCCTGTGTCTCTATGTCTCTGTGTCTCTGTGTCCCTATGTCTCTGTGTCCCTGTGTCTCTTTGTCTCTTTGTCTCTGTGTCCCTGTGTCTCTATGTCTCTGTCTCTTTGTCCCTGTGTCCCTGTGTCTCTGTGTCTCTGTGTCTCTTTGTCCCTGTGTCCCTGTGTCCCTGTGTCTCTGTCTCTGTGTCCCTGTGTCCCTGTGTCCCTATGTCTCTATGTCTCTATGTCCCTGTGTCCCTGTGTCTCTGTGTCCCTGTGTCTCT